TTTAACAACATTTGCATACGTTTGGCTTGTTACATTCAATTTGGTGTTCTGTTGCCTTTCTGTATCAGTTGTTATTTTTCTACGTAGGGCTGGAAACGCTTTTTTCTGGAGTTGTTTGTAGACTGTGCACCCTTTATAGTTAGCCGGGTGATTACCTTCACAAAGAACACACCATACATCATTACCGGGGGATTTGCGTGGGCAATCTGAGGATAAGTGGTTTTCAGGGCATTTAACACAGCGTGGCATATGATTACAAAAATGTTTTGTATGACCATATCGTTGGCACCGAGTGCATTGCGGCAATTCGCGCTTCTTTTTAGGCGCTTCAATGGAAATTTTTGTGTGCAGCAAGTCAGTACAGTTGTAAATTGTTTTCACCTTGTCTGAGGGCTTTAGTCCAACGAAAAACAGAGGAAGTGGTTTTTTTGTAACACGATGTCGAATGTTACTGATATTGACTACTTCATGGCCTAAATTAATTAAATCTTGTTTGATTTCATCAATAGGTATTGATGGATGTAGGCCCCTTAAAAATGATTAGCTTTCATGATCCAATTGTAGTTAAATTCATTACTGCAATGATTTTAAAAATGCGACAGCTTTTAAGAAGTAAGACTTACAGATTCTTCAGACAAGGTCATATCAATTTTTTTTTACCGAAATGTAAGCAGCAGCTTTAGAAGAAATATAGGTATAACAAATAAAAAATGGCCACTGGTTCCTTAGCGGTACTCCACGCATTGCCATTTGAGGTATCTAAAATGATAAGAATTTAATGAAAAAATTATTATTTTTATTCATCAGATTTTTATATTCATTTTGTTTTTTGATTTTTTTGTATATTTCCAATTACGTTCATATTATATACTTTTAGGAACTCATTTCGGATGCTTTTCAACTTATTTACATATTAAACCCTGTCAAATTCTATTTTAATATAATTTTTCAAATGAAATCCTTTAAATCTATTGAAATTCTAAAAAATTCTGTTTATAATTTATTTTATGATGTTTTTTCCCTTTTGCATCTGAATCAGATTTTATGGCTTAATACATGTCGATATGCAATGCTACTGACATGGTGGGTTGTAATATGATGTGAAACAATGTGTTATGGTGTGGTATGTGGTATGTGGTATGTTGTACTATGATAAAATGAGATACGATGCCATGTATCTATATAATCTTAGCCAACCATAGTTTACGGCGGAATCAATAAATTTTCAAGTACCCATCATCAATCAAAATAATTTACAACCACACGGACATCAGCAACAGCCGCAGAAGCTACTTTAAATAGAACAAAAACACAGATAGAAATAGTTTCTATTAGAAATAATTATTGCGATGTATCCATTCAGCCTTAAGCCTTTTTAAATGATAAACTTATTTTTGTGAAAAAATAACCGAATTAAGACACTTAAGACCCACCATTTCAATACCACTAATACAGAAAGTTTTAATGCAAATTATTATAATCATTTATAAATATTATTATTTTAATATAATCATATTTTTTTTTTTTTTTTCTATTTGCTCACCCTTTTCAAGTTTAATCCAATGCAAATTCATTCTGAATAACATTAATAGGTAATAGTTGTACAGTTCACACCAAATAGTTTAGGAGAGTATTTCGTCCTCGGTCTGAGGAAAATAACAAAAGTAAAATTGTTGGATCTATTCAGCTTTATATGGAAGAGTAAATTGCTTTACAAACACAAAACCAGGAGATAACAACTGTTTGTGTTACTCACCCAGCCCTCAGGATACTATGCAGGCAACACTATGTGCAATAGATGTCTCCGAGTAGAAGTGCTAGCAGTTGAAAGAGCAAACGCCCACTCAACCTAACCCAATTTAAACTATTACGCAATTATGTCACCCAATCCTCCAAATTTTGAAAATGAAATAAAAGTCATTTCTTTAGTTATAGATTGTTAGTGAATTCTCTAATAGAAATATTGTCAAGAAGCGAACAATGCGTTTAAGATAAAAAAAAATATCTGCTGGTACTTTCATAACATCTACTTACTTTAGGAAGCCATGCGAATAAATTTTGAATGAACTGTTGATACATTTATTGAACAACTCCCTATATAACACCAATCACATTAGATGTAATTCAGATCCGTCTGAGTCTGAGTGTGTATGTATCGAACTTTTTAATACGATGCATCGATAGAGTACTTTTTGAAGTATTTCAAGTCTTTGGCCTACGTGGAATAGTTAAGAAATATACCAGCTACCGAATGTTCTATATAATATATAATATTTTTGTGATGCAGTTTAAAATATTCGAAGAACTAGCGAAAGATTAGAGGTCAAAGACATAGTTCCTTATACATTGTTGTAATATTTTAATTATTAAGGTCAGAACGTCCATTTAAAGAAATATGATTAGTTTTTAATTTAATGTTCTACTTCTCTTAAAAAGCACTTCTTAATAATATACTTTCATTAGGAAATTAAAATTCCTATTTTGTTTAATATACACATATCAAACATTGTGAGCACATGTGAGCAAACAAACAGTTATACTGTCATAACTACTTTATAATTCTCACGGAGTTTGATTTTTGTGTTCATTAAAAAGAAGTAGAGGCAATATAATGTTATGAATTTAGTTTAATATAAAATGCATTATTTGTATTTATTATGAATTTAATTTAATATAAAATACATTATTTGGACGGCAATTGCACTCTTCGCCTATTTATTGTGTAAAGTTCTACTTCTCTTAAAAAGCACTTCTTAATAATATGTATACTTTCATTAGTAAATTAAAATTCCTATTTTTTTCAATATACACATATCAAATATTTGACAGTATAACTAGTTTATAATTCTCACGGAGTTTGATTTTTGTGTTCATTAAAAAGAAATAGAGGCAATATAATGTTGTGAATTTAGTTTAATATAAAATACATTATTTGGTCGGTAATTGTACTCGTTGTCTATTTATGGTATAAACCTTGAAAATCTAATTATATAACTAACTATTTATAATGAATTGCATATTGTCCGCTAAAGAAGTAAATGAACAGCCAAGTGTTTTGTAGATATTACAAATATTGAAAAGATAAAGCATTTTATTTTCTCTGGGTATTATTCATAAGGCATCTGCTACGAATCGTAACTGTAAAAAACCTAACCTATAAGGTCTAGAAGGCATATTTGTCATTACCGAAAAGGATGGGATACATATGCTAAGGCGGTAAAACGTGAGATCGGCATATTGCTATGATTGTTGTTTTTGTTGTCGTTTAAGTAATACACAATGGAAATGTATGTGTGGCTCTAGTTTCGGTTGACTTCAAGAGTCAACCGAGGAGTCATTGCTGAAGGTTATGTTATATAAAGCATGAGTGTGAGTTTTATATTATTGGTATTATTAAAACATGAGTTTATTGCTAATTAGTGTTTGTATAATTGTCTACATTAAATTCTTATTTTGTATATTTTCTTGGGATCTATTTGTGTTATCATATATTTGTAGCAATGTTGCTGGTTTTCACAAATAAATATTCGCACGCTATCAGCGTACCAGACGTAATATGATCATCTTTACAAGCCTCTGTGTATGTTAAGGTTGATAAGCATTAATAGACATGCCACTGTGATAATGCTGTTGTTCCCACTGACGCAATATGAGTTATTATAAGTGATAACATATTTAATTCCAGTTGGTATATGACAAAACGTATATACTAGCTTGCTGAGCTAACTGCATTAAGCAGATATAGTGTAGGCTTAGGTAATGCATTCCCACAAGCGTCTTTAACGTTGAATTCTCAAGGTCTATTAGACAAGAAATCGTGGGAATTAGGTGAATTTCCTCTTTTATAGTAAGCGTAAATCTATGATTTTTGTATTAAAGCTTAAGAGTTTTTAATAAAAAATTAATTCAATTCTAGAATTCATTCCAGAAGTTTATTTAAAACAATTTCAAAGTTTAACTGAAGTTGGTTCAAGTGCCAAATTTAGTATTTTCAATAGCAACTGGTTCAAGTGCCGGATTCCTAATCATAAGCAACACTGAATCGATTCAGAGTCCACAACAAACGAATTATTGAAATCTTTACGAATTCGTCTTCACATTTAATTGAGCACCGAAAAATGGTACCGCATTCCGATTACGCCAAGTCTGGGTTCATTTTTGTAGCAGATTGATTAACAACTTCAGTTGGCATCGATTTCAAAGGCTTAGCAGGTAGTTGTCGGCAACTACATACCTATAGATCAGATGTAATTAAGAATCTAAAAAGTATATCATGCATTATTGTGCTTCGCGAATTTTTCTTGTGCGTCTTCAGGCATCTGACCTATCGGTAATAGTGAATGAGATATTAATTGCGGTCTATCAATTAATAGTTTGAGAACGGTAGAAGGCATATAATTCTTGTTGTACAGTTCAACGTGTTTTCCAGCTGTTTCTAGACTAAAATGTTGAACTGTTTCTGTATTTATATTTAAATAAAATGTTATAGTTTGTAATGCAATCGTGTTATTCCTTTATGGTGTCGTAATGGAAACTAACCTTACCTACTGTGAGTCGAGTTGCCCATTTATGAATTCTACTGAATTGAGCACTGAGTTGAATTGCTTCTCTATATATTATTTAGCAAATAATAAACTAATATATTCACTCGGTGTTTGGTATTTCATAGTATTTCATAGTTTGACGTCACTGTTATAGAACAGTAATAACAATAATAATTATATGTTGTTGCATAAACACATTTATGTACATATTTCAAAATCAATACGTTGCCGAGATTTCCCTAACCCATGAACCCATGAAGCTGATTTACTAACATTTCAGCAGAAGAATACGATTGTACGTTGCATGAGTTAAGCTCAAAACGATGTTCTTGTGATTAATACAATTTTAAGAAAGAGAATCAATCGATTGCTGTTATTACTGTTGATCAGAAAATCTCATTCCGTTGACCTGTAATTTTCGAAAATCTTTTGAGACTTATAAAAAGCTGTTCAGCTGTGATCAGTAGCTCCCAAGCGATCGATTTGTACGGTTGTTACTTGTTTTAAGTGGGGTTTCCCGTACCGCTCAGAGACATTGCAAATATCACGAAAGTGGTTTCAACAGTTTTTTGAAGTAAATAATTTATATATATGTTAATAATGAATTTATGCAATCATTTGTTTATTTTTAAATAAAACTGGCAAATATTTTATAAAAATGTGTGAGAAAAATTCGCTATTAATAGTTAAAAAAGGTCTATGATTTTCGACGGCGCAGTATTAGTGGATTTTAAACATTTTTATTGCTTAAAATAAATAAATACTTACGGCTTATACCAGTCAAAATATACTTACATATGAATTATTGAGACGAGGATCGACTCCAAACATAAAACGCATTGTATTCAAAATCGTATATATGTGAATTTATTCTTAATAATAATGTGTGTATATATATACAACTTTATAAACAAAGAAAGAGGACTATGGCGATGTGGATAGCATATCTGAGAAACTAGTATTCTTTAAAAATTTAGCGAAACCAGAATCGATGTTATGTGTACAATGAAAGAATATGATTTATTTCAATTATTAAAAATAAAATAAAAATAATTATTTTTAATTTATTTGATTTATAATTAACATATATGTAGGTATGTATGGTATGTACGTTTCTATGTAAATAGGGTTATCAATATGCCAATATGTATTTCACATAAATGAAACTTGGGCCCAATCACTTCGATGCAACGGATTAGGTTATCACCTAATCACAGTCTACGTTTGTCTTCTTGTGTCACATTTAATGGTAACAAGAATATGAATACGGAACAAAATAAATAAAATTTGACACATGGCTAAAAGAGATACAGTCAAACTTCTATAACTCGAAGTATCACTTTGCAAAGAAAAGATTCGACTTATGGAGACTTATGGAGTTAAAGGTTTTTTTTTGGTATTGTATGTAATTTGCTCTCTAAACCCTGTTGCACTCTATTTAATTCGAATAATAGAAATTTCGTGTTATTCAAGTTCGAGTTATGGAAGTTTGACTGTATTATAATTATTTATTATTGAAAAGAATCCTTATTGAATCTGTTACACATATTATTTCAACAACGAGTTTAAGTTTTCTCAGAACATAAACTATATTGCTCACAAAATAGTCAGTGAGATGTGGGTGGGACTCTACAGAAACCCCCCAGCTATCAAAGAGTAAAAGTGCCCAGATGCACTAACGCGGAAATGGCTCAACGTTCGATCCATAAACTTACAATACTTATCTGTGTTACTATCGTTAATGCTTGTTCGAACATTCGTAAAACATTTCAGCAATCATCAAGATAACTCGTAAATAAATACAAAAACAGGCTTTGACTATATCAACAAAAATGATGTAATGATGTTGTAGAATAGGATGTAGAATCTATATAAATAGATATGTATGTATTTTTAAATATATATGCATTTTGTGTTATTATAAACATATACAATTAATAAAATTGCTCTTACTACTTCCCTTCCCTTATCTTTTGTAGGAAACTGCACACACAATGGGGACAAAATTCTGCTTAATAATACTAGCATTTGTTGCAACAGCGTACTGTGCTGATAAACCGGATGTGGATAAACTAATTTGGGAGCTTTTTAATAACAAGAAGAATTCAAACAATCAAACTAAACCCGCTGCAGGATCTACATCAGTATTTACACGTCAACCTACACCCATACCTACACCTACACCCATACCTACACCTACACCAACCACTGAGGCTGAGCCTGCACTTACAATAGTATCGGAACCTAATATTTTACCTGACTTTACATTTTCAAGAGTATTTGAACTTGGACCTATACCTATACTTACACTTGAGACTGGTCATGTACCTGAATTTAGAACCGAGACCGAATTTGATTCTGATTCTAAGTTTAATTCCAACCCTGACATTGAACCTGGCGAGGAATGTGGAATTGGTCGTGCTTGTGTGCCTCGGGCTTTATGTCACAATGATAAAATTATTTATAATGGAATCAACGTAATAGAGCCTCGGATTGGTAATAATAAATGTACACTTTTTCACAAATGCTGCAGATTGTAAAATAAGTGAGGTCCATCGGTTATGGCAATCGTGTTAATTCTGCGGATTTTTTTTCGGACATAGTCACATAAAATTAATTTTAAAATCAAATATTTGATTTACTATAATTCAAATTTAAAAACAATAAATATAAATTAAATATAAATATAAATAAATATAAGTGTGTAGTAATAACATAAAAGTTGTATTTCTTTTGTCAAAATACGAAATATGAAAATATGAAAGAGAACACAAATCCGATTACTAATCTGTCCATGTTTACTTAACTTAAAGGTTCATGTGAGCAAGTGAGACACCGAATCTTTATTGCTGACTTTAAGTTCTTCAATTATTTTTTCTCCATATGTCCCGGTATCTTCCACACATGTGAGCAATCGATTTAACCTTTATATAACCAGTAGAACTTCTCTTCGCAAGAACGTACATTTTTCGATCCTGTCAATGTCAAAATATATCTCCTCTCTCTTAATTTCTACCATTGATACTAATCTGTCCATGTTTACTTAACTTAAAGGTTCATGTGAACAAGTGAGACACCGAATCTTTATTGCTGACTTTAAGTTCTTCAATTATTTTTTCTCCATATGTCCCGATATCTTCCACACATGTGAGCAATCGAATTAAACTTTATATAACCAGTAGAACTTCTTTCGCAAGAACGTACATTTTTCGATCCTGTCAATGTCAAAATATATCTCCTCTCTCTTGGATTTCTACCATTGATACTAATCTGTCCATGTTTACTTAACTTAAAGGTTCATGTGAGAAGTGAGACACCGAATCTTTATTGCTGACTTTAAGTTCTTCAATTATTTTTTCTCCATATGTCCCGATATCTTCCACACATGTGAGCAATCGAATTAAACTTTATATAACCAGTAGAACTTCTATTCGCAAGAACGTACATTTTTCGATCCTGTCAATGTCAAAATATATCTCCTCTCTCTTGATTTCTACCATTGATACTAATCTGTCCATGTTTACTTAACTTAAAGGTTCGTGTGAACAAGTGAGACACCGAATCTTTATTGCTGACTTTAAGTTCTTCAATTATTTTTTCTCCACATGTCCCGATATCTTCCACACATGTGAGCAAATTCGAATTTAAACTATTAATAAATATCAATAGAAATATATATTTCGCAAGAACATAAAATTGTATCGATTCTGTCAAAATCGAAATATAAAATCTCTCACATAAACTAAACCATTGATTACTAATCTGTCCATGTTTACTTAACTTAAAGGTTCATGTGAACAAGTGAGACACCGAATCTTTATTGCTGACTTTAAGTTCTTCAATTATTTTTTCTCCATATGTCCCGATATCTTCCACACATGTGAGCAATCGAATTAAACTTTATATAACCAGTAGAACTTCTCTTCGCAAGAACGTACATTTTTCGATCCTGTCAATGTCAAAATATATCTCCTCTCTCTTAATTTCTACCATTGATACTAATCTGTCCATGTTTACTTAACTTAAAGGTTCATGTGAACAAGTGAGACACCGAATCTTTATTGCTGACTTTAAGTTCTTCAATTATTTTTTCTCCATATGTCCCGATATCTTCCACACATGTGAGCAATCGAATTAAACTTTATATAACCAGTAGAACTTCTCTTCGCAAGAACGTACATTTTTCGATCCTGTCAATGTCAAAATATATCTCCTCTCTCTTGGTTTCTACCATTGATACTAATCTGTCCATGTTTACTTAACTTAAAGGTTCATGTGAGTAAGTGAGACACCGAATCTTTATTGCTGACTTTAAGTTCTTCAATTATTTTTTCTCCATATGTCCCGATATCTTCCACACATGTGAGCAATCGAATTAAACTTTATATAACCAGTAGAACTTCTCTTCGCAAGAACGTACATTTTTCGATCCTGTCAATGTCAAAATATATCTCCTCTCTCTTGGTTTCTACCATTGATACTAATCTGTCCATGTTTACTTAACTTAAAGGTTCGTGTGAGCAAGTGAGACACCGAATCTTTATTGCTGACTTTAAGTTCTTCAATTATTTTTTCTCCACATGTCCCGGTATCTTCCACACATGTGAGCAAACACTCTGTGCATGAGCGCTGCAGTTGTACATAAATTTTCACACAAATGCAGCAGAAACATTTTTATTTGTGATAAAATTTGTAAGGATTAAATCTAAAGACGTTCATTACAAATTCTTTATATTTCACTAAATTTCATGTTTTCCCTACTCTCTCCATGTTGTCCTGCTGGTGGAAATCTAGAAGTTGTTTATGGAAAATACCGAATATTTGTGGCTGCTTTTTGTTTGAGTTCGCCAGGTTTAAGTGTGTGTGAGAATTTCAAACAAGGATTAAAGTTACATTCGCCACAGCCGTACGTATCCTTTGCATAGACACACACAAGGATACTTCTCGAAGTCGTTACTTCTGCTCACACAGGCAGACATCCCCGTAAGCTTGCAAAAACTTAATACGAATGTTTTTCTATGGATTTTATATAAATTCTTCAAAATTTCATTTCAGTTTTTTTCGCATTCTGCGTTTGTTGGTATTTGTGCTATTTTCCTTATCCAGAAATTCAGATATTTCATTGAGGTAAAAAGCACGTAGATTACTAGCACACGGATAGATACACAAACTAACAAACTAACTAAAAACACATTTTATTCCATTTTATCTTACTTTACTTTATTTACTTTTATTTCATTTCATTTCATTTTATTTCATTTTATTTTATTCTCAATATGAACCACAAACAAAATGCAAACGAATTTTAAGCTAATATTGCAAAAAGCTTAAACTAAGTAGGAAAATAGTAGTTAAGAGATTTTGGGTTTAAAAAAATTACTGCTTAGGATTTTATAGTTGGTCAAGATACGTCATGAAGTCACTTTCGATCTAATAATACCTATATGCCAGCTCTTATCTCAATTGACAAAGTTTTGGTACCTCACAATATCGGAGAAAGTATGTTGCGTCCTTAGCATTATTAGAACAGACGTAACTATATCCTGAGAAAGTAAACAATCCTAATAATATGATAAATATATTTGTCAGATTAAATGAAACAATTTCAAAAGTCAGAACATCGCTAGGAAGCTATCAATCATATATTCACCTTCTGTTAGCCTATAATGTTAAATTTATGGCAGGACCGCCATATCATAATTAATTAATGGTAGGGTCGCCATATAATATTTACCTATAATTTCTAATGTAGATGTTTCTTTAATAGAAACTGAAACAACACATATGTACATATGGGTCCGACATTGAAAACACTCAGAACCTTATACTTAATATAGAACTTTGCAGAATATCTATCTATCTATATCTATATCCAAATATTTTTTACCAATATTTGCATGAATCTAGATAATAACCGAGTATTTGGTACCAATTTTGCTACGACTCGCTTCAGCAATTTCTCTAACTGTAGTCCTTCTATAGGCAAATATAATCAAATTAATATTTTCACTATTTCAACATTCCCTTACTTTTTAATCAGTTATAGTACCGATGACTGGAATATATCAATTAACTTTATTTTATTTCCGAATCACAAATTGAAACTTAGAGGTGCCGCCTTCAACATTATCAAGACTTCAGTCAGGAGATGAAATATGCACCGCCTGAAAAAGTTACTTCAAGGATTGGAAAAGCTACTTCAAGGTCCACTTTGTTGGCGGTATATATTTTGATACAATGAGTAGCATTGTTTGTTTCATTAAAGAATTCCCGTTATAGAATTTTTATCCTAATGCATATCTGTACCAAGTATCTGTATCTGTATCTGTACCAAATCACTTCCTCATTAAATATAAACACATTTGTAGGATTTGTAGGATGTCTTGAATATTACTCATTGAATGGAACTCTGAAATTAAAAACATTGTTAAGCTCAGTAATAATTTGGAGTGAAGTATAGTAAGGCACACCTACCTCATATGGCGCAATTAATTAAATAATTATTAATGCAATATTCCTGTTATTTCAGTAACCAATTTTCTCCATTATTTACGTCTATTATTTTATTTAGTTTTTGTTTAATTAAAAGGATTATAAATCTGATACAGAAGCTGAGCAATTATTTTCATTTTAAGAAGTTCCATAAAGACAAACACCGAAAAGAAGTCAGTTTACTTGTATGGCATGATTGAGACGTTGCAGTGATGCCGGAGTGATGTGAGGCCCTCAGTTGTGTTGCAATTAAAATTAATGAAGTGCCTGAAAATTTCAATTAATTAATAACCATAACAAGTAGTGACCACAAAGAGAAATATTACACCGATTGACTTGCCAACAGCACCGTTATCGCTGTCATCGCTTCTTTGTAATTATCGCCGTATTGCCCTGTAACTTTGACTTTTAATCTGAGCGCTAACATGTCGCCAACACATCGCCAGCTCCAAGAACTTCAATGGCTCGTTGCTGGAGTCTGTGTGCCGCACTCTTATTTAACTGCAATTGGACGTCTCCACTTGCATGTGATTAATTTAATTTTATTTAAATTGAAAGAAAAACTATTTCAAAAACGGTTTAAATATTAAAAAAAAATATCCCCTAAAAAAAATTAAAAATAGTCGATGACCTTGCAAGTACCACTTATGGTAAAATCGGAATACTTACTGACTTACTTACTTAGTTTGCCACTACAGACGTGGGTCGTCCTTAGCCGCGTCGATTAGCCTCCGCCAACTACTCCGAGTAGTTGCTTGCTGTCGCCAGTCAGTAGCACCGAGCACACCCAAATCGTTGGTCACCTATATATACTATATGGTCTATTCAATAATTCACTTAAATAGAAATAAATTTTGAAGCTAAATATTTCTAGGTACACTATAAACTAATTTAAATTTGGTGAGTTATTTAAAAATAATCTAAGATAAATACATAATATTTTGTAGACTGGTGGCTGACACAACATGGTTCAATAATATATATCTTTTCATCCCAATCGTTCTTTTAGCACTTAAGACATATTCTTTCACATATGGTGTGATCAATGACTATAGTTCCCACATGTTATGTAGGACTCGAGATTTTTTTTTGTAGTGTGAAGATAGAATGCTTTATGCATCGTCAAACCAACCATCGCCGGAATGGGGTATTCAAGTCCTACTTTGT